AGCACTTACATAAGAATGCACAGAAGCATATTTATTCTCTTAGCAGATAGTTGAATTGTTCGCTTATTTTAAGATGCTTAGCTGCGCTTTAAGTTTAACAAACTGGCAGGAAAAACTTTAGAGACTGGTTTCAATTTCATTGGACAATGCCACAGCGCGGAAGCTTATCTCGTCGCAACGCCAAGCATAGATGGCGAACACCCACTTAACTAAAACTTAAGAGCACATACTCGTAGTAGTTGAGACAAAAAGTAATTTCGTACTTTAGTCGGCAAATTTGTTTTGGCGTTAAAGCTTTTATCTTTGCTATTTTAGTTTAACTGTTGCATCGCAAATCTAGGGGGGGTTCAAAGCTGCTAAAAGTGTATGTAACACTAAAAGCAATGTAATGGAAGACAAGATATTTATGTATTTGCATAACAGTTTAAGTTTGCTTTTGTAAGTAAACAAATTCTAATAATTTGTCGATAAACAGAGGGAGTTTTTTTTTTGAGTGATGTAAATTTCTTTAGTGCGAAGGAGCCAAATTTACTTACTATCTACACAATATAAAGGCAAATAAGAAGTGCAAATTAGAAAAAGAGACACCCATGTAACTTATGTATGTATTCTTCTTTCAATTGAAAAGTTCAGTTTCTGCCTTCACAATCCTTCCGCTTCCGTTGCCATTCCAGAGCATCTGCTCTGCTAATTACTTGGTGCCATGTTTGAAAATTCAAATTTTTTAGGGCAGGAGACTCGGCTACTAAAGAGAGCTCAATCTTAGCCAAGTTTACATACAGACAGAATATTACTTAATCACTAACTAATGCGGTCAAAGAGGACCCCTTTAAGGTCACATAGGTCTGCATGAAAAATTTAATAACTCAGTCAGTTTTTAACAGCTTTTTGAAAATTAATATTTCTTTAAATTTTTACCATCCAGTTAGGACTATTATGGTTTCTTTACAAAATAGTGCGTAAAAACTTGACCGAAAGTGGAAAAAGTCGAAATGCACACGGTTCACTTAAGTTTTATAAATTCTCATAAAAACTTTTCGAAATGTAAAAGTTTCTAATTTCTTAACCCGATGAGAAACTGAATATCGGTTGCAAGTCACCTAACTTGCCAGGTTTTGAGTGCGCAAATGTACGAAAATCCGGCGGAAATTTTATATTTCAGTTCTCTTTTTACTCGTGTCAAGACCTACAAGAAAATTAAATCACTTGTCAAGTATTTTTCATTGTCGCACCGTGTAACCTAATACTTTATTCGGAATTTTGCTCTCATTAAAATTCAATTCACTTGGAAAAATGCAAAAATACACCTTTACACATCTCTAAATGGCACCTAAAGAAATTTCAGTAAGCCGAGTACTTAGTACTTATTTCGCTTAATCAACAAGTTGAAAAGAAAAAAATTACGCTGGCATTAAAGTGTCCTTTCTCCTAATACAATGTTGCACCCCAGGGCGCACCAAAATCGATTTTCATCAACATCACTGGTGTAAAATTTTGTTACAGTTTTGCAATGCCTTTTTTGTTTTCACAGATTGTGCTATTTTACGTAGACGTAGTACACAAAAACACAAATTCTCACACACACACAAATATAAAGAATACAAAAATACTTATACAAATAAATTTGAAAGTAAATGGAAGCGCAAAACCACCGCAAGCCACACACTGACATGCACACGTACATACATGCTCGTACATGCTTGTACATGCTGGTACATAGTCAATTGAAACGCCCTACGACAAAGCGCAGCCAATTTTGGCTATCTGTTTTCAACATGTCGACAAAATCGCACAAAAGTTGCTCAACTTTATGCAGCAAGTTGTTAGGGTACTTTTTATTCGTTTTACACTTGTGTGCTTTTTCATTGTTGTCATCATAAATTGCGTTACTTTAGCATGCAAGTGTGATCGGTGTGTGGCCAAAGGGAAACTGTTAACCCACATTTTTCATGCTCCTTTTTAAGCTGTTGCGTATTTTTGTTTTTTTGAAAAAGGTCACCGGAAGTTGTTTTGGGTGTGCCATTTAATCCTTTGTATCATATTTTGGGCTAAATACTTTTTAAATTTGGTTAGTGAAAATTTTTAATAGGTATTTGATTCTTTTGAGGTTTCAATTCAACTAAAATAATTTCGCAATTTTTTCTAATTTGAGCAAGCCTTTGGTGTTGATCAAAGATAAATACTTAGTTGAAGGTATGTCGAATAACAAAGCAAGGCATCCCATTGCTTACTTAATACTTAAGTTACAACATTAATTTCCGACGTAATTGTGTGTTCTTAGCATTTTTTTAATGAGCTGTCAACAAATATTGACATTTAGATTTATATGCTAAAAAATATACATCCACACCACTTCAGATGGCACCGAAACCACTTTCAAAAGGACCATCGCAACGAGCGAATTATGTACCTAAGTTAGAGGTTTGGATATATTCGGCAGCTAAGTCTCGATTTTCCGTACCAAAAGTGAATATTAACTGTCGAATATGAGGGAACTCTCCGCTTTTAAAAGATATGAATTTTCGAACTTAAAAAAAAAAATGTTTTAGTAAATTATAAATTGATAATATATTTAAATTAAATAAAAATTTTTTAAAGCAACATTATTTACAGTTTGCAAAGCTTTTTTTTTAAATTCATATCTTTAAAAAATTATACTTTTAAAAAACAATTTCTTGAAAATTTCAGGATCTTTTAAGATGAATTGGCTAGGTTAGGTTAGGTTTAACTGGCTGACTAGTAAAATCCTTACACAGACCACTCACTTTTTAGCGAATTATAGGATTTTGTGGAACCCGTCTCTCGTTGCTTGTTTGAGCAAGCTAAGACGTAAAATTCCCAGCACTGGACAGTCTCACTCATATTAAGGGCGTGGGTAGATAACAAATTTTGACCCAACATAAGTCTATAGTCTTTCCTTGGTAGTTTTGTTACCCTATACTGGATATTATGCACCCAGGTGACATTTTTGTCCAGAGTTCATTTCTGCATTCTAGGACGGTTTTTAAGGTATTTGACACTTTTACGACTTTTATAATTTCTAAATTCTGTAGATATTTCGCATTTTTTTATACAATAGCTTTTGAGATATTAAAATAAAAAACTCGCAAAATCCCAGAAATTGTGAAATAGAGAAGTTTGCATAACTTTCGAAAAAAATTGAACTTTTTCCCTTTCGTTATACGATTAAAGAAAAGTGGTTACCAAAATTCATAAAAAATTAAAAATAGTCGGTTCCACCCATTGGTCGATTTAAATCGGATTGGTGCTAGAAATTTCGGCGTGCCACTGGCCATTAAAGGGCAAACATTTTAACAAAAAAGTTGGGCGTTAAAAACATTGATGCCAATGTGTTAATGAAAATAGTTATTCAGCTTGTTTCCACATGGAATCTTTAAGTGACCAAATTTATATTTTATTTCAATTACTAATGCTCAGTAGGCGCATCAAAGTAGATTTTTTAAAGGCAGCTCAAGGGTTACACTAAAAATTTAACCCTGCTTTGATAGCCTTACTGAAAGTTAAGGGTTAAGAAGGATCTCGGCTTTTGGTCCGGCATTTTTTTTACTGATACTGGAGACCAAGTGTGATTATACCTCATAGCGTGTGATATCATGCCGATGCATTGCTCAAACAATCGAGTGTGTGGTTTCCACGTCAAACCTTCACTTCAGGTTAACTAATGTTACCTTCTCGTTCGGTCGATTTTCATGCTGCGGCCTCGATGAATTTTTAAAAACTCATCAAACAACTCAAATAATTTTCCACAAGACATAACATTTTAATGCTGGGTTTCCACCGGGCATTGAATGACAAAAAATTTTAATGACGTCGTTGTGCAACAAAACAAATTTATATCTTTACATAAAGAAACGTAGTCATTAAGTTCATTTCCAAGACAATTTATATGCCTGGTGGAAATACAGCATAATAAATTTTATGCTAATAAATAAATAAAAATAAATGCAAGAATTATTAAAACAATTTTGTCACATTTTTTTTTTTTAATTCAGTTGTATTTTTCATTTTTATTTTATACTAAAATATATATTTTCGATTTATGAGCTTAAGTTATAAACGATATGCATGAAACAATTTTTTTTTTTAAATAAGATTATTCTAAATTTACGTACAATTCATAAATATTTCTTTGTAAAAATTGATTTAACATTTTAAATAAAATAACTTTATAATTAACTACGTTTACGATTAGTTAAGTTAGTTTAGATTAAATTAAAATGATTCGTATTTGTTCGTTATACTAACACAATTTATTCGCTTTTGTTTTTATGTAATTTTTTATTTTCATTCAATTAAACTAAAAATGAAATTGTGCAAACAAGGAAATCTTGAAACACAGAATTTCATTTATACTTTCTAGTAATTTTTTAATGAAAAACTTTACTATAAACTTTCGGATTAAACAGCATTTTTAGTGAAAAAAAAAATTAGTTAATTAAGTAAGAAATTTCCTCAAAATATTTTTTTATTAAATACTTTTCCAATAAAGCAGGAGAAGCCTTTAAAGGGTCGTAAATAAATAAATAAATAAATAAATAAATAAATAAATAGATAGCGTAATTGTAGATATAACAAATAGTGTAATAAATAGTTTTGTTGCTTAAAAGTAGGCAATAAATATTTATTTAAAATAATTAAATAGTAAATTCAACTCGACGTCAGTTTGCCAATCGCTTCGTTTGGTGCCTTCAAAATTAACTAACAATAAATATTTATGTATAGAATTGTTTTAGTTTTTCACCATTTCATAAAATTATTTTAAAACTAAGACACAACACTAAGTTTTTAATAAAAAAAAAATATATATTCAGACTACTTAGGCACAATTTTTCTTTTTTTTTTTTAAGAATTACTTTACTGCAATTTCAATTGCCCCTTCCCTGCCCCAGGTGCATTTTATCGAAACTTACAATGTGAAGGTGCTGGCAAAAATATTGAGTTTTCTAGTTTTGAGTGCAACGTTCAAGATCCAAGAGCGATCATAGCATATGCGCCGAAAAGTATGCTTAAAAAGAGAAGGAGAAAAAAAAATGAATTCACTGTGGCAGTGAAAGAGTTATCCGTCGGTGTAGAACTACTTGAAGGCTAAAAGTAGTCGCATTTCGAAACACCTGCACATTCAAGACACACACAAATTCTTTGCATACCTTCGGGCGCTGTGACTTGTCAAAAGCTCACCAGTATTTTTAGTCACTTGTTTGCTGTCACTATGATTAATACGCTCGATAAATATTTATGATAAAATATTGCCAAGCGGAAGAATGTGAAAAAATAATCATAATATTTACGAAGTTTGCTGAGCACAGTGGCTGCCTAAATTTTGCTTCTGAATAAAGATAAATATGTAGTAGGGCTATGAGCTTTGCGTGCGACTTAACAAAACTCTCCCCAATTTTTTCTCGCTTTAATGAAAGTCACTCAATTTCCACGCAATTTTTTTTTTTCAAATTTGCGTCTGTGTTTTGAACGCACAAAGACATTATTTCAGCGCATATTTCGTTGATTTTCTAATCTCATTTTGCACTTAAATTGCCTTGCTTTTGCTTTTTACATTTTCGTTAATTTCGTTTTGTTTTTACAATTTTAATAATAATATTTTTGCTAACTGTAAGTTTAATCTTTGTAAATACCTAACTAAATGTATCTATATCTATTCGATGTGTATATATATATATATATGTATGTATATATTTAATATGTATAATGACATTGTTGGTATTGCTATTGCGCTGCGTTACGTTGTTTTATGCATTTTTGTTTGTTTGTGTATTTCGCCAGTTTTTGACTGTTGCTCTTCTCCTATTTCACCCCCGTTATGCTTCGCAGCCAAGGCTTGTAGAATGTTGTACGCATGTACACACCCGGCAGGTAGGGCGCCGCACATTTAATGCCGTGCGACACAGTGCCAGCCAACTCGTAACGACCATCGGGACGTTGCAGCACCAATGGACCACCGCTGTCACCCTGTTGACGTAGAATGAATTGCGTTTCAAGTATTTAGTGAGTGTGTATAGGCGTTGGGGAAAGAGAAAATGGAATAAAGTGCGATGTTATAAAATAATATGTTTATTGACTTGAGCGTATTTCACTGATAACGCGCTAAGGTATGTAGTACATAGATAAGGTTACATAAGTTACGGTTAACGGAGGTTAGAGTAGGTTTGGTTTTAGCTATTAATTAGGAGATGATATCAGCTATTGCGGTGGAAGCTCGTAGGAAATGGTAGATGAAGATTAAAAAAAAAAAACTCTCCTGGACGAAAATGTGTTTGGCTTGGCTCCCGAAAGCTTTTTTAATTAAATGAAAAAAAGAGCTAAAATTGATACCTGAGCGAAATACTTTGTTTGGACATATATAATACAATTTTTCGAGGAATATTTTTCCCTAATGGCCGTTTTGGCCCCAAATTTTGAAACCTTACGAAAAGGTAGATTTTTGAAATTTCGAGTAAATTGCGAAAATTTAGTACCAGTCAAACGGGCCTCATATTCGGATTCAGCAACGAGGATGAATGGAGTTTTAATGAGCTTTATGCCAAATAGATATAAGCGCCTACATCAGAGATAACGGTAGTACACTAGCTTTTCTAATTAATAAAATCTCCCATTTGCTACCCAAGACAAGAAGAACACTGATTAAAAACTACCAGAAATATAATTTTATCGACCCTTTGGGTTCCTTCTGCCATCTATAGCAGACTGGAACTTGATACGCCGGTTGGGATATATAATTTATTTATTCACCACTTGTACCAAACAGGGACAGGGCTTTCGAGTAGTTGTTGAAAATTGTCTAGGTAGAACTATTCGCTTTCGCGGAATGTTGTCATTGAGAAGCTGAAAATAGATTTTATGCAGAGAGCCGAGTCGCCAACCTCTCGGGCAGACAGCTGGCCATTAGGGCTCTGGCGCCTTTCAGAATAAATTCGAAGCTGTTAAAGAGCGCGGAGTTTCTTTGAATACAAATCGTTCGTAGAATTAGTTGAACAGAGGGAATTCCACATTAATCCTAAGCGAGAATAGGATACCAAACCCTTATTTGAAAACCCGGTAATGTTGTCTCTAATATTTTCAACAATGGGATCGCATATAGGCGGTAGGCCGCTGAATCTCCAAACTCATGTGACCCGAGGATGAAAATTGACTATGGTGAATTTTGTAAAAGCTGATACAATGAAAATGAAGAGGAGACATAAGAGCACCTCCTTTGATTAGTTCAAATGAGGGCAGGCAGACTTAACCAGGAGGTTTTGAATTGACATTTGTACAAGTTTGGTTTGATTAAGGCCCACAAATTTACAAAATTTGATTGAAAATGCTGGTTAGTTCTAGTATAGTCATACCAAGCCTAAGGTACGAAATCGGCATTTAGTTGCATGCCGGCATTAAGTTCTACTTTATCAAATGTTAAAAGTTTCATATGCAGCGCCTGCTTGGTCAGCTGCTACATAAAAGTCTCTCTTATCAGATGAGGCACAGATAAGTTCACCAATTACTTTGAGAATAGCTTAAAGCCTTAAAAAGTTAAATATTATTCACCTCCTAAGAATTTCTCAACAAATACGAACACTTTTTAAAAGGGGTTGAAAACTTGAATTTTTCTAAAGGCTTCTTAACGGGTATTATCCAATTTTGCTGAATTGCCACGAAAAACATCAGTCAAAATGAACAGGATATTGTACCCATAACTAAAGTGCAAATATATAATCTAATTATCCGTCTGCCAAATGCATTCAGAAAGTCAAAGGGTGGCTAAGTTCAGCAAAGTACATACAATTTCGTCATTTCTTTTGTATATCTCATTTACATAAACTTATGCAATACTGCGGACTATTGTTATTCAAACTTTAAATATTGTTTACCCATAGTGTGTATGTATGTGGAAGGAACCATAGAGAAACCACAACATAAAGCACTATTGTGCCAACACTTACCTCACATGAGTCCTTTTGCCCATTGGCATAGCCGGCACAGAGGAAAGAACCCAAAATTTTTTTATTGTGCCCCGCCGTGTGGAACATCTCCTGACATACGCTGTTCTCAATAATTGGCACCTAAAATACCCGAAATATATGCAAAAAAAAAATAAAAAGAATTAATGAAAGAAAAATAAAAAGTTTCACAATGTTGCCGGTGTACTTAAAATACATATATATTCCATATAGAAGCGTACAACTACTACACATACATATAAGTATATACACTTAATTTCATATTCTGCCATGAACGCACCTGAACTTCCTGCAACACAGATGGCACACCGCCGCCGTACTTCAGACGCCCCCAGCCGGTGACCGTCGCCATGCGACCGGTGAAGTCTGCATGGTCGTTGGGCATACAAATTGGCACTGCAAAAGAAAAGGGAAAAAAGGAAAAGGAAAGAAGTAAAGAGAAAAAGTATTACAAATCCGTTTGAAAGCTGAAGAAAAAGTGTGAAAGGGAAAGTAGTTAGAAATAAGTTCAAAGTGTTTGTGTAGTTTATGTCAATCAAAATTCTTGCGAAAAATGTTATTTTAGGAAGGTTTTGGTTTGGTTGGTGCGAAATATTTGGCTATTAATGTTGATTAATAGCAACGTCCAAAAAATAAAACTCCGCTCACTTCTGAGAAAACCATGCTTTTTTGGAAAATAGGCTGAAAATTTTATTGGTAATTTTTGTGGTTCCATTTTCACTCTCGATTGGGTCGCGCACTCCCATGGCGTATGAGCAACATTTTAAAATGATATATTTTATATCAGTTTAAAAGCATTTCGGGGTAAATAGCTAGAAGTCCTCTAAAACCATTTTAATCATTATCTTACACAATAAAATGTTAAGCATGAGATTTTACGACGGTCAACACGTCTTGTGAATCCTATAGCTTAGTATCTAGAAAAACTTATGTAAATAAAAATTTCAAACTTTTTAGAAGATTTATAAAAATTCGATAAATTTTAACAAATATCCATCACAGTCTGAAACTATTTAACCGTTTTTTTTTTTTAAATTTGCAGTTTTGGAGCCTATTAAATTTAAATAAATTAAAATGCAGGTTCGAATTAGCTAGGATTTACTATTGATTTTTGAAAATTTTTTGTTCGCGTATTTTCTTCCATATTTTGGACAACTTTTTTGCATGAAGAAAATGTGTAACACTTTCCACAAAAAAAAAAATGCAAAAAATCAACGATAAGTCTAGCCACTTAAGAATTGCACTCTGTTCAACTAAAATTGGACCTACAAAACTGCATATTCTGGATGCTTTTAAGAAATCTAATTAATTTTGGTGAAACTTTGTCTAATTTTGCTAATTTTTGTAACTTTTGAAATTCAGACTACATACTTTGTTTAATAATGCGTTACACTTTCCTTAATTTATTAATTTATTTTTTTTTCAAACATCGTTTACATTGTAACAACACATAGAAAAATTCATAAAATTTTCGTAAAAATTTCAAAAGTTTTTAATCAAAACTTTTACGACTTTACAAAGTTCTACCTAATTTTTTTTAAGTGGTTGTAATGTCTGCGTGGCCACAAGTGCACATGTGAACTTTGCAAATAGCTAGCTATGTAGATCATACATTTATACAAAAGAATAGGTTTGCAATTTCCGCTTTGCACAGAAAAGGTCAAATAATATTTTTATAATTATAACCGAATATCTCCACTGGCGGTTAATTATTACATACATCCATACATAAGCATGAACGTACACTTGTATGTGTGTGCAACTCTTCAACCTCCTACATATGAAGCGTATTTAGAAACAAAACAAAAACATAAAAACCATCTGCTATCAAAGGCACTCCCTTTTATTCAGCCTTCCCACATTTATAAATACTTTTTTGTACAGGCGAAACTCAAAAGCACCCCAAGGATTTTTTGCTTGTCGGAGCTATGAAAAAGGTAATTATAACCTTTCATATACGGTGAGAAATCGTTAACTGATTGTGTGGTATAGGCATAGTATGCATACATTTGCAGGCCTGTAAGGTACAAGCTTTAACTAATTGAATTCCTTTCAGTTCTCTAATTTACATAAAAGGACTATTCCGGCAACTGTTCTTCAAATCACCAGTATTTGGTAAGTAAATTGTATTAAATAAAAAATATGTTTTTTTTTGAAACAATAAAACTATAAATTAAAAGAAAAATAAAATAAGTTTATAAAAAATTAAAAGAGATTTAAAAAATGTGTTAAAATAAATTAAATTAAAAAAGAAGTAAATAATGATTAAGAAAAATAAAATGAAATGCAGTAAAAAAAATATTTGACTTTTTAAAACAACAAAATCTAAAAGTAAAACAAAATTACATAAAAAAGAAGTAGTAGAAAAAGAAAAAAAATTAAAATAATTGCCAAAAATTTAAATGAAACTAAAAAAAAAAAATATTTTTCTTTATTGAACAATAAAATCTAAACATTAAAAGAAAATGGAATGAAAAACAATTAAAATAAAAAAAAAGTAATACATAAAATAAGTTTTTAAAAAGTGAGTGCAATTAAGATAGTGTATATTTTTCTTTTTAAAACAAGGAAATCCAAAAATTTAATTTAAAAACGAAAAAAAAATAATAATTATTTTTAAATAGAAGAAAAAAAATCTGCTGCCCGATTTTTCGAATGGCACCCCTGTGCTTTGCTCAATCGGCCACTGCGTTTGTTGACGTAGCGCGAGCAAAATGATATCCATTTGGAACATGCTCATAAGCTTTCTGCCAAAAGAGCTTTTCACCATGAAAAATGGCAAGGCAGCTTTTTTGTAAGACTTTCATGCCAGAATAAAAAAAAAATATTTCAAACTATCTTGCCTGTTGCCTTTCAATTGCCTTACAAATGACTTGCACTTATCTTAGGCAGAACTGCCCTGTATTATTTTGGAATAGAGAGCCCTACTTCTTAAAGGCTGTTGTGCAATAACTTCTAACTCTACAGCAAAAAAAGACTACACTAAATGGTGCGCACTGATATTGGCTGCTGGCTATATACTTGCACAGGATATATGATTTGATCACTCACAAATACTGTACATCAGTGCTGCTAAATTCATGTTTCAAGTTCACTTTTGAAAAAATCACACAGATTCCCTCGAGAAAAGAAAAGGGAGAAGATACCGTCTTGGAAGCTTACCTAACTCTACTGCCAAATACACCTACGGATATTCGCAAAAGGTTTCACTTAAATCATGCCGAATTGATAACCATTAAGACTGTGATGGTTCTCTCGGACATTAAAGCCGCTCTCGAATCCTTAGGATGCTACTCGATTTCCTTTTAAATAGCTGCCGCTTATAACGAGGCTTATTCAAAACGAGCAGGTTTATATGCGGCAGATGAACTGGCCAGAACTGGTACCTACTTTTCTGCCACAAATATGTACCTCCCTTGAAGCGGGTGTATCGCTTATACCTCCCGGACTCTTGCTTGAAACCCACTTCATAGAACTGGCAAAGTGCTGCAGGACCAAATATGGTCCATACTCCATAAAAATGGGTTCAGCACTCTCACTCGCAGGGGCGGCCTCAATAGAAAGTAGATGTTGGAACTATCTTCCAATAAACGACTTCCATAGAAGCAGTCGAGACGAAACGGAAATCGAAAACGCGGAGAGCTAATGGGCTAAACTTTTTTTCGATTGTGTTCAGACTTAATCCCGTTAAAAATCGACGGAGTTGGATGGCAGATAAATCTAACTAGGAGGATCTAAGGATCTTGTCGAAGACACGTCAAACGTACCCTTAAGTATAGTCTGCAAATTTCATCACTCACTTTAGATAGAACTGCATATATGTTCCAATTCCTTTTTTCCTTGCTGATTTGCTCACTTACCTATGTGTGTGTCAAATTGCACCGTACTCTCGAGCTCCAATAGCGCCAGATCATTTTCGAACGTCGCAGGATCATACTGACGGTGTACAATGACACGTTTAACATTCTTCGTAACAGGGCGTTTACTCTCCAAATCGCCTGAGATATCGAACTCACCCATAACAGCGACTAACGAGGCCAGAAAGCTATTGAAATTTTTTAAAAAAATAGCAATATTAGAAAGTTAAAAAAAAAAAATTAATTTTGCTTATTTTTAGGATTCACGCAATTAGTAGGTGTCTTCACAAATATTATTTTCAAATTAAGTAACTGCTACTCACCCTGGCTGACAATGCGCCGCTGTGATGACATAACGATTCGTTATCAATACACCGCCGCATTTGTTCTTTGTAAAAAGTCCCAGCCATGTGGATTCACGTACGAGCACTTGCCAAGGGTAAGCGCCGAATGTGGAACCTTTGCCGCCTACAATTCTGCCAGATTTGATGTGTGGCCGTACGCCGCATTCTGTCGATGGGGAGTGAAATGTGAGGTTAGGAGGTAAGGGAGAGTATAGCAACAGCATAGATGAGTGTTTAGCGGTGGTTGGTGAATGGTTGGTTGGTGAGCTTTATGACACCGGAAATGATGGCGGTATGGAGTGGTGATGGGTGATGGAGTGGCGACGATGTTGACAGTAGGAAGTGGTGTGGTGGTGCATTGTACTGAACATGAAGGGCATTTGGGTGAGTCAGGTTGAAAATTCAACAGCGTTGGCCGAGTGGTATTCGAGTGCGAATCTTTTTAGTTGTACAGGACTCGAAGGAGCGGTGAGTATTTGTGAGTGTGTGGCGATGCAGGTTATTTGGTAAAGTGAGTTATGAAGTGGGCAAACGAGAATCAAGACAAATAAGTTCTTGAGAAGAAGCTGAGATGGGAATCGATGGTTTGATGGATGATGGTTGGGCAAGTTTAAGTGGGGGCAAGTATCATTAGGGGTTGCAGTCGAGTTGAAAAAGGAATAAAAAAGGCTCTAATAGGAACCAATGGGGAATGACAGGGAAAACTTTTATGCTAAAGGCAGCTTAAGAGAAATTATAGAAGAACGGTGAGATAGGGAGCTAAATTCAGGATAGGTTCTTTGCTGAGGGATTTTTTTTTTTTACAGAAGGTCGTATATTTGATTGAAAAGACGCACTGTGGTGATGAAGTTGGAAGTTTATGTGAATGTTAATGTGTGTTGGTATGTGTGTTTACGCGAGCAGGGATGAATTAAATTTAGTTAACAAAATGAGTTAATAATCGTTGAAAAAACACAAGTGAAAGAAGCAATTTACAGTTAAATGGGCGTGCAAGTTGAAGTGCAAGTTGTCGATGAATGCATGTATGAGCGTATGTGTGCGTGTGTTTGTATGTCGCGTGCGGGCGTGTATTGCGGAGTGTAGTTTTACGGGATAAAAGGAGCGTGTAAGAGGGTTGCGGAGGTGAGGGGAAAGTTTAGTGTAAGTGGAGGCGACAAATTAGAAGAAAAAGAAACAGAGTCGTTTCGGATTCTATGCATGGCAAACTAATTCAACACAAAAATTGATATCAAACAAAAACAAAAAAAAAAAAAAAAGTCCGCCACCAGTACGGCGGTCGATACTTACTAAATTTGCGTCCACCAGCGCCAGTGTAAGCTTCATCCTGCTCACCGCCGATCTCATTGTCTGCTTGATTAACATCCTCCTCATCCTCTTCGTCGATCAACTCATCCTCTGCCGGCGGCGCTCGTGTGCTGGTCGTTGTGGTGACGCGACGCGTTGGCTTCCGTGTCGTTGGCCTGCGTGTAGTTGTGGTGCGACGCGTCAGTGGACGTTGTGTTGATGCAGCTGGCCTACGAGTTGGTTGTCTGGTGGTCACACGTGTTGCCGGTCGCCTTGTGGTCGGCTTCGATGTAGCTGTGCGCGTCGGTTTTCTTGTGGGTTTGCGCGTTGTGGCCGAGCTCCCTGCGCCAGCACCGGCGGCTTGATAGGTCGACACCGGCGCTGCGGCTGCTGTATTGTTCACATCGTCGATCATATCTGCCAGCGCGTCAAAGTTGCCTTGCAGTGATTCGACGATCTTGTGTACCAGCGTATTCATTTTGTCCTTTAATACCCCATCCTCGACGAATGCGGGTGTGGACAGTTCTAGGTCGGTGGTGACCGCGCTAGATGTTGCAGACATATTCAAGTTGGGATTGCGTACAGGTGGGAAGTTGACATTGTCATTTGGCGAAGTGTAGGTCTCTTCTTCCACGGGTGCGCCGAATTTTTCACCTGGTATCGGGAATGGCGGATAGGTTGGTGTGGGTCCGTAGTAGCCTGGAAAAGCGGGACGGTCATCGGAGGGCACACCATATTCTGTATCTGCAACCGATTGTGTGAAGGCAGGATGTACGCCACTCTGCGCATTTTGTCCGATGTGCTGTGCGCCATAGTAACCTGGATCGTCGAAGTCATTGGTTGTGACTCCGGACAAGCTGACATATTCGGGCGTATTTATTGCCAATTCGGGACGACGCGTCACCACCGGACTGTATATGTAGGAGGTGCTGCTGAAAGCAGGCAGCGGCGTCGTTTGCGGGAAGGCATTGTCATTGTAATTCACGCTAGGTCTTTGCGGCCAGTCGGTGTTTGTGACCAGAGTGAAGAGCGTCGGCCTAGGTGTCACCACGCCGTTTGTGGTGGTTATGGGCTTTGATGTTACTTTAACGAAACCTGGCTTTTTGTGTACGTATGTGTATTGAGGACGCTCTGCATATTGCGGTTTAGTGTCAATTTCGTAGTCCAATTTATCATCGGCTACAACAAGTGGAGGCACTTCAGAATCGTGGTAGATAAGTGTGGTGGACGGACGAGATGTGGTGGGTACTGCGTTGTAAGTGTTTGATGCTGGATTTTCACCGCTTGGTTTGCGTATGATCGTGGGTCGGTTGGTGGCCGCGCTCTGTTCATCGTAGTTCGAGTTCAAAGAGGGTTGTGGCGCAGGATAATAAGCATCGGAATCGAATGTGGATTGCGGTGCTTTGAGGTGCTCATCGTAGGCGGGATCGGGCTTGTCGTAGTCTTGACCATAATCATCGGACGTGAGCTTGGTGTCTTGACCGTACAAGTCGGCAGGCAGTTTGGTATCTTGGTCGCTTGTCACAGAAGGTGAATTGTGGTCCTCTGCCTGAACTTGGTACGTATCCGTTACTGGCTTCCGTGTTGCCAAAGTAGAAGTGTAGGTATTTGTTTGATGCTCGTCGTTGTATGAGTTTGTCAGGTGACTGACAGGTTTTCTGGTCGCAGGCTCCGCGTTATATGTGGGCTGCTGTTCAGGTCTTTGATATACGGGTTCCGCATTGAACGTATTCGTAGCTGGTTCGGCATTGTAGTTGCTGCTGGGCTGCTGCTGTACAGTCGGGCGCTTAACATAGGTGGGTTTGTTGTGCTGGTACGTGCTGGCTGGTTGTTTGACCGGTGGCTTTACGGACTGCTTAGTGGGCTGCTTGGAAGGTTTCTTTTGCGCTTGCGACTGCGATTGCGTGTATGAAACTTGCGTTGGCTGCTTGACATTGGGACTCGCATTTGCGCCATTGCCATTGTACGTATTTGCAGGCTGTTGTGCTGGTTTCTTATTGCTGTAATTTGGCTCCTGGTAGTCATTTGTCAGCTGTGCGGCTGGCTTTTTAATTTGTCCTTGCGTCTGTTCGTAATTGTTGGCTGGCTGGGGCGGCGCTTGATTGTAATTACTCACTGGCCTTGCGGTTGTTGGCTTTTTGGCTGCAGTTGGCTTCGTCTTTTTGGTATTCGGACGGGATGTGTTGGGTTTGGGGCGTGGTCTTGGCCGCGGCTGGGTACCACTTGAAGTAATGATACCCGATATTGGACGTACTGTAGTCGAGTGCGTGGAGGAGCCGCCATATTGTGGGCGTGGTGGCGCTGGAGTTGTAGTTGGTGTAAGATATGCCATGGTTGATGTTTTACTAATTGTTGGACGCTGCGTCAGCGCGGTTTGATCGAAGTATTGGATTGTCGTTAGCGTGTCGGGTCGTGGTGTGTGATAAGCCAGTGATGATGATGTCTGGACATCTTGAATTTTGGTCGTATGCGAAGAGACAGAAACTTCTTGAGGCACTTCGGTGTATTGGGTTAGAGTGGGCAACTTCGCACCATTGTAATTCTGAGCATTCACCATGCCGACATACGAGGCTACAGGACGTTGTGGTTTGCCAGTGACAACGGGTACTTGTCCGTAGTTAGAATCCTGTATTTCTACCGTATCTATTTTGTCGATTGATCCTGATTGCGGAGAGTGTTGCATTTGATTTTGATTACCATAATTACTGCCTACGTCGGGTGTTCTATGGTTATCGTCCTCAATGTTTGACATATCCACTGGGTATGCAATGCCCATGGCTGGCATTTTATTGAACTCATGCGTTTGATGAGAAGACGACTGTAAAGCATCATTGTAATTATTTGCGGGCATTGTGTGCTCATCCAAAACAGAAGTTGCGTCGTCTCCATAGTTCAGAGCTGTAGTAGGGCTAGGACCATTGGCAGCGGTGGCAGGTTTCGACACATAGGATCCCGCTACATTCAAGTTGGTGCTCACAGTCTCCAGGTAAGCAGGTACCTGCGCTGTCACCGGCGAATAGTTTTGCTCATTTTCCGCGTAGTAGTCATCTGGGCGTTTTGTCTCTACTTCGTCATCGTAATGGGTAGTGGCAGCGCCATAATACAAACCGCCAGTTGTGTTGGGCACACTTGGTGTTGTAGTGCCATAGTGTCCACTATTAGTTGGCTCATATTTGCTGGCAGATAAGTCCGCATCCGTACCATAAGAAGCCGTCTGTTGCGGCTGCTGGCTTACGATATTATATGTCGGTCCATGATTCGTTGTGCCATTCAACTGCAGAATGATGGACTCAATTGAGTCCACATGCGTGGTAATTGAGGTGCCTGTTGTAGGTTCGCCATAAGTGGGCGGCTTTTTGCTGGCCTGGTCATAATTTACGCTTTGTATTAAGTCGTATTTGTCTTGTGACGCTGGTGACTGGTGTGTCGTCTTCGTGGTGGTTGATGGCGGATTATAGCTGATGGGCGAGGGCTCTCTAACCGGCGCTTCCATGTAAACCGGTTGTGGGCCGTAGCCCGTTGAGAACTGTAAATCATCCTCAATTAGATCAGCGTCTGCACCGGGGTGGGTAATGTCGCTGTGCGTGAACTCAGCACCGTCGAGTATCAGGTGATTATGGTTATGGCTGATAGCGCTGTGTTCTTGTGGTTGCTGCTGTTGTGGCTTCTGCTTCTGCTGTTGCATTGATTGGACTTGTTGTGGCCTCACTTGCTGTGATTGCGCCTGTGGTCTGGACATTTGTACCTGTGGACGTGGTCGCTGGTTTTCTGGCCATGGCTTGGGTTTCGGCCTGACCGTTTGTTGCTCCTGTAATTCTGGCGCTTTTGGTTCTTCATCCTCGGCGGCATTCTTCTCCCATTCATTCAGTTGCATGGGATTCTGTGTAACTGGAATTTCTTCGAAGGAATTCGACTCTGATGAACTGTTTGGCTCTGTGAGACCATTCACAATGCGCATTGGTAGACCGGTGGTGGTAAGCGTGACCACTTCATCTTCCATTGCTGGTGGTGATAATGTTGTGCTCAATAGATCCAGAACGAAATCATCATTTAACGGTGGTGGTACGGTAGTAAAAGGCACTTGAACTGGATGTGGATGAGTTTGGAACACGAAATTAGTGTCTGAAGCAGCTTGATCTGGCTGCTGCTGCGCATCATGCTCCAATTCCGTACTGAGAGACTGCGTGCTTACGTCTGCAGCAGCGCTAACAACCTTTACCTGTTCGGACTGTTGTGAGGCTTCAATCGAGGCTTCTTGTAGATGACTCTCGAGCTGTTGGCTATCCATTTGCTGGCTATCTCCTTGCATGAATAGCGGCTGCTCATCGTAGGAAGCAGTGGGACCAACCACCGGCCGACTTTCGTGCTGTGCACTCTCCAGCGACTCCATCAGATACAGGGTGCTTGTGTTAGGTGCTGATTCCTGTGATTGTGGGTACTTGTTACTCGACACTTCATCTGGCTGAGAATGCAACGCTTGGTAGGTGTTCGCATTCGCGCTACTGCTGCTGCTGCTGCTGCTCTCCAACTGCTGATAAACCTTATCGATATTCATTTGTGTGTAACCATTCTGAGGTTGTTTCAGCTCCTCCACAGAGTCGGCATTCCCTGCGCCACCACCGCCATAGATGGGTCTCGGCAGTTGTGGTTTATATTTTTGCTGCTGCTGCTGCTGCTGTTGGGGTAGCTGCGGCTTCTGTATGCGCGGTGGCTGTGGCTTTGGTTTGGGTTTTTGTTTTGGTTTGAATGTCGGCGGCGTGTATTTGGTCTCTTGGGATTGTTGCTGTTGACTTTCGCCGTAGGTTTCGTATGATTGTGCGACCGCTTGATTTGCGCCTCCATACTCTTCTTGAAGTTTCTGCTGCTGATGCTGTTGGTAGTACGAGTTCTGTGCGTCGTTCAGCAGCGTACTTTCGAGATCCTGCTCACTGGGTATTTGACAGCACGCGCCGAAGAGGAAGCCGTCCATGCAGGCGCCCACCACTTCGCCATTGCGCTGCGCACACTCGTGATTGAACATACAGATCGTGGGTCCATTTTTGCGGGGGTCATTCATGGCGAGTGTTTTGGTGGCACGACAATGTTTTGGCGTTATCCGATAGCCACCGAACAATTTGCGACCCTCTGAAAAGAGAAGAAAACAAAGGAAGTATAAGTAAAAAAAAAATCACTTGGCAATGGATTGATCAACTATGGATGCATATAGTAAATAAGAACATCAGTATATAAGTAAGTAGCGAATATAAGTATAAATTATTGGTGTCAATAGGGTTGCCGTCTAGTTGAAATTATTTATGAAGCAAATAAAGAAAATATGTGTTCCAAATTAAACGCATTTTCGGCGTCTTTGTTCAGAAAATACTTGTGAATAGGGTTGCCATCTTTTTTTTTTATTCAATACGGGATAATACAAAACTTGCGAAGATCCATTACTTTGTTTGTTTATGTTTGTAAATAGATATGTATCTTTGTATCATGCCTGAGATTGTTTGATCGGGGTTGCCACCCATATTAAAATCTAAACAAAGCAAATAAAAGTTTGCAATACGGGCATCAAACTAACTGTATTTTTTAGTGTTTATAATCACAATTTATTTTTGAATAGAATGGTAATAAGAAGATTTTTGATGCTATTTTTTAACTTGTTTCAAAGAATGGTATAAGAAAAACTTGAATAACTGAACCTAAACAACTCTTCCGATTTAGACTTGTGAGGTATCATTGGAAAGGTATTTTCATTTCTTTGCTAATAAACTCATTCTAGGATGAAAGTGAAAGATAGGACGAACGAACGTCATTCAAAGTTGAATTAAGATGTGTTGGTATTGAAAAAAAAAAAATAAAATTGAGACATGAATGACTTTTTTTTGGCTACTTTGGGCTCGGTATGCAATGGAAAAGCAGAGCCCTCTCTCGGCGAACAAAAATTACGCTCTACAAGTCTCTCGTCATGTCCGTCCATACACATATATGGCGCATTTTTTTTTTTGATGCAGAGATGCATCTTAATACCCCAGGAACATTTCCACATCAAAAAGAAAATTTTGAAAAAAGTGTCGCTTACGTCTTTTTGTCGTAAGGGCTCGAAATACTGTTTTCAAGCAAAAAATGAAATATTTCCGAACTTTTATTTTTGAAGGTTATTTTAAAGCCCCAAGATAATTTTAATTAAATTTTGGTATAACAAAGTGCAAATTTCTCTAAATAATACCTTTGATAAAAATAGATTTTGTTGATGCGTTATATGGAAGAAAATGGGTAACACCCTTGACAAAAAAAAAAATCTCAAAAATCAACGGTAAATTTAAGAGACTTAATACTTGCACTTTATTGTATTAAAATTTAATGGGCTATAAAACTGCATACTCAAGATATGAAAAGTTGAAAATTTTTTGGTATTTCTTGAATTTAACCGAGTTTTATATGAAATTTAAAAAATTGATTCTGCTGGTTTTTGCTGTTGGATGGATTATATTTTTACAAAAAAGAAGAAAAACTTAGTTTTTACAACAAAAATAAGTATTCATATTTTTTGACACTGTCTGTATGTATGAAATAGGTTTGGTTTCGCATATAAAATAAATTTTATAATTTCTTGTTGAATTTCATAACGGTTTCTTATAATTTTGGCAAAAATCTATGTCAACAAAGCCACATTCGTGCAAAAAGATCATAGAAAATTCCGATGAAAGAGTGCGTAAGTGCCTGCAAAGCCGTGGATATCATTAGCCTGATCCAATGTATGTAAATACTTTATTATTCAATAAAAAATAGTTTCCTGTATTATTTGATTCTTGGGTAAATTTTGGCACACCCCTAACACATACACACATAAATATATTTGTTGGTTGTTAACTTGGTGTGATATTCGCTGCGATAATTTTACCATAATTTCTGAATAAGCATTGACAAGTAATTAACACAATGTTAATTAAAAACCATAAAACAATCATTGACTCAACTCTTGGGTCCATAACGACAACTTAAACAAACAGAAACAAGAATTGATATTCGCCAAAAAGAATCATAAAATGTAGTTTAGTTAAATTAGTAACGATTTGTAAATGAAATGAAAGGGAAATTGTTTAGGTTTCGAAGCCAAGCGGGAAAAAATTGCTGAAACCGCGAAAAAAGAAATCACTTTCGGCATTTCACTTTGCACGCTGACCCAACCCAACGACGGTATATTTCAACAAGCTGGCGCTCAGACGAAAGTAAATTGCGAAACGTCGATTTTTATTTACATACACACTTACACACAGATATATGACCATAACGCTTCTGCAAATCACCGCTACAGTTTTTTTTTTTTGCAAGCGATAAAGTGAAAGTACTCGTAACTGACCGGTTAGTTAGCCAAAAAAAAAAAGGTTTTGTGCGCGCGCTGATAGCGTAGCTTGTTGAATGTGTAAATACGCTTGATATGTACCTACATATATACGTAAGTTATATGTATCTATATAAAAATGTAGGCAATGAATGAGTGAACGGAAATCAAGAATTTAATTGCTGCAGGCCGCTCGCAACAATGAATCAAAAAACACTGTAATTTTTATTGAAAACCGCAAACGGCGTGGATGAGCTTTTAATTTTGGAGGCGCTAAATGTTATTTTTTTATTTTTTTTTTAATTACAAATAAATTTCGTTTTTCGCATGAGTACAAGAAGTAATTAAATCCTTCAGGCGTCGAATGAGTTGCGGTTTTATTTGGCAACGCTGGCGGCAAAGTGATAGGAATAAGCGTGAAATAGCGCTTTTATAACGTTTTATAGTGTTACAGCTATTTTTACTATGCAGAAAATATTAAATGGCATTTGAACGTTTTATGAACATTTCGGTGTTCTCAGCAGAGATGCGAGTTAATTGATATGTCAAAGCAAAATAATAAACACTTAAAAAATCACATTGCCCCAGCTAGTTAATAGGCCAAGTGCAAGCTAACGTAGGCATATCGGCCGCTTTGGCTAACAATAAATATTTAAAAGTCTCTTAAAAATACAAATAATCTTAAGCAGCGTGAGAAAACGATTTAGCTCATTGAGTTTCTGATGAAATAATAAATTTGTTTTTTTCAAGTGTTTATGGTGTATGATTTTGGAAGCAAATCGAGAAAACTGTACATTGAAGAAGCTTTGGCATAATTTGGGAGCTTAATGATTGAAAGCGAAATTATAAAAAAAAAAAACTCGGCAAAAAGTATTTGTTCCGTAAATTTACTGAGAAAGAGTGTAAGTAAGATATTTTCAAAAAACTCCAAAAAAAAAAATATACAGTCAGCGTCAAAAATATGAATACTCTGACGTTTTGACGATTTTATCCATTTATGTTTTCCGCACCACATTTTTCTTATTTTTTTTTTAAATATAGTGCACGCAACAGCAAAAACCAGCAGAATCAACTATTTCAATTTCATATATTTAGAACTCGGAAAAATTGAAAAAAAATACCCAAAAAAATTTTTATCAAAATTTTTTACTTTTCAATTCGATTTCTTAGAAAAATTTGAGTATACACTTTTTTAGCCCATTAAATTTTACTGAGATGCAAGTTTCATGTCTCTAAATATTACCGTTGATTTTTCAGATTTTTTTGACGACGGTGTTCCGCATTTTCTGCCATTAAGAGTAGCTTTTGTTCATGCGTTATTCATCCTTAATGTATGCTCATATTCATAGTGAAATTATGTGTGGACGAATGGGTGACATTTTTTTAGAAAAAATTTTAAGAAAATCGATCCGTAATTTTTTGAAAAGCAACATTTTATATTGAAAATTTTGAAAAGTTTATAGAAATTCGGTTTTGAACATTTTTCGTTTTAATTTTCCAAAAGTATTTTGAAAACGTAAATTTTGAATTTTTGCCTCCAATGGGCTAATTTTTCGCAAAAATATGGCAGTCAGGGAGATCTCTCTCAATTGGTATCATAACATGAAAAATCCAAATGTTGCCCTTTTTTGGGACTGAATGCGCCATATATATTTACTGTATTATATTGAGTCCTAATCGCCAAAAAGACGTAGGTAAGCGACATTTTTTCAAAATCTTATTTTCGATGCATAAATGTTCCTAGAGCATCTATATACGTTTCTGCATCAAAAATAAATTTTTGAAAAAATGTCGCTTACAATTTTTAATTAATTTATATTTTTTAATTATAAAGCTATAATATTTTTCGTGACAAATTATCAAACGAATCATCCACGTGTCAATCGCTTAATAGCACACACAAAAAAAAATCTAATATCGTGCACATCGCAATTCAGCTAAAATCAAGTTAAGAGTACTACTATCTCGCATTTACCACAATTAATACTTTGAAAGATCATACTGTGAGGCTTTTATATGTATTTTTTTTTAAGATACATTTACATAAAAGGAAGTGATAAAATACTTAGCCATAAGTAATGGCAGTAAATTACTGGTAAACAACAGAAGTAATGAACTTTCAAGCAAAATCCAAAATTGACAGATAAATCTTTCACACAGCAGTTGGTGGGCAACAATCAGTACACATCAAAGTCACGCGCGGCTGTCGTTTTCACGCCAAGCATTTACTCATTCAAGCATTGTCGACGGCGGCAGTTAGTGAATCGTGTGTCGCACCTGCCAATATGTCAAGCGATAAGATGTGAGTACACATGTACAAACACACGTAAAGCAGACTTACTGGCGGTGAGAGCAACTGCGTGGAAGAGAAACGGAGTTCAAATAACCTAAGAGGTATGCAGAATTTGATAACCTTAAAATATTCTTTCCAGCCATTCATTCTGCACCCTATTGCGTTGACAAATTTCATCGAAGTACGCTCCTCGAATTTTTACCCTCTTTCTTCGCATTTTTTTTAGCTTTTCAATCCGCCTCTACCTAAATACCTTTATAATTGGCCACTTGTTAAGCGTTAAGGTACAATTACCAACATTTTTTCCACCATTCTTATGAGCTTTTAAGCTCATTAATTGATACCTTCAAGCCCAGAAATGCCTCTTCAAAAGCAAAAAAAAAAAAAAACAAAAAGAAATATAACGACAAAAGTTCCACCAACATCAGCAACACTTGTTGTAACAATGTTGTGCTCGCTTCACGTGTTGTTATTGTTGCTGTAGTCGTCACTGTCATTGTCATT